CAGGCACAAACTGGAGCAGAGGAAGCTCCAGCTGAACCCGAGGAAGAACTTCTTCCCTCTGAGGGTGACGGAGCCCTGGCCCAGGCTGCCCAGGGAGGCTGTGGAGTCTCCTTCTCTGGAGATATTCCAGCCCCGCCTGGACAAGGTCCTGTGCAGCCTGCTCTGGGTGACCCTGCTTGGGCAGGAGGTTTGGACTAGATGACCCACAGAGGTCCCTTCCAACCCCGACCATTCTGTGATTCTGTGGTTTTGGTTTGTTTTAAAACCCCAGAGTATGAAAATGAGAGGCAGTCAGTAAATACTGCAGGGTTTGAGGTTTAACTATATCCCAAAATATCACGGGTTGTGTCAGCAGTGTGTACCACAGAATCTTGTATCTATCGCAGTTGGTGTTAGCTGGAAAGTTGCTCAGGAGAGGCTGGTGGTCAGCTACCCAAGATCCCAGGATTATAAGACTCTTTTTTAAATTATTTTTTTTTTTTAGTATATTGGAGAAAACCTGCACAGGAGGAATGCTGCTCATGCTGATATCAGGGTATTCGCTGCACCTGCTTGAACCCTGACTGTTATCTACCAATAAATTAAATGCTCAGAACACACCCAGGCCTTGTGTTGTTGTACACGACGTTTCTGAACAACTCTATTTGTAATGAGCTGACACTGGAGTTTGTCAGTTTTCATAGCCAGGTGGTGGCTGAGCCAGGCAGGACTCTGAATGAAGCTGGAGCGTAACCTGGACTGCTTCTCCTGCAGAGTATTTGGGAGTGGTTTTTGCAAGCAGAACGGAAAGCTGTGTGTAGAATCATCCGTTCAGTGCCCAGTATGACACTGGTTATCCGCAGTCAGAAGTTACTGTCTGAGTGCAGCGGACTTACTGCCCTCACAGGAACCCAGAAGTTCATAATTGACCTGTTTGAGGTGGGGGCAAAAAGGGTGAGAAATTAGAAAATTAATTGCTTAGTATAATATTAGTGTGATATTGCTGTCATTCAGGATGTGTGGTCCTCAGGAAGATACTACATCTTTTTGCCTGGGCTTTGAAAAACAGTGGGATTGCCTGCCTTGGGGCGAGTCCAAGGTCTTGCCAGCCTAACACCAGTATTTCCATTTACAGACGTCCAATGTGATGCTGTGCTGCAACCTGCTCCACGTTCAAGCATGGAGAGAATGCTTCATGTAACGTGACCAAAACATTTGGCATTTTCTAGTATTTCCTTACGTGAGTTTTTTAAACAGGAACACGAAATGACTTTTGGGTAATTTTATATATAATCTTTTATGCACTGTTTGTTTTTCCTGCGGTGCTTTCCTGCATCCATTAATTTCCTGTCATCATTAATTTCAAGAAGTGCTGTTCGATAGATAAACTGTTGCTAATAGGATGCAAATGATTAAACGAGTGTATTTGGTTGGTTCAGTTAAAGCACATTTGTGAACGTTCAGGGTACTTTTTCTTCTTTTTTTCTTTATCATCACACAATAAATCAGAGCGCATTCATTGCTGCTTTGATGTCATTACTGCGAGCAGCCTGGCTGACGGCAGCAGAAAACGCAGTCCTTCGTTAGTGTCTCATCCGTGTGGTGTTTCTTGTGCAGCAGACACAACCACGTGTGGG